TTGTAGTTATGACGGTTTCGAGAAACGGCCCCAAGTTTCATCAATCGCCGTATCAGTGACAAGGTAGAAATCTGATAATATAATATGCTACTGAAATCCTTGCATTTGTCAATTGGCTGTGAACAAATTTGTTACAGCAGTTTGGCACTTGTAATTGATAACAAGTCTAATAAAGATGAGGCCTAAAAAACATTTAAGCGCTAGCCACAGGATGCGAATGATCTTGCTTTTCAATAGACGTGTTAAAACATTTTATGCATACATTTTTAAACAAAAGTTTCTCTTGACGAATGAAAAACTCGCCAGAGGGTTTCCCGACATGAAAATGAATCGTCAGAACATTGCACTAAACGACATAGTATCATGTGGAAGCAGTACCTACATCCAGATTCAGGTAAAGATAGAAACACTTGGTCTTTATCTCAGATCGTCTTACTTGAGTGTGGGTAATATGTCAGAGCATACATGAATAATTTACAATTATATAATTTTAAAATTATTTACCAAAGGCATGGACTTGTCCGGGGACTTGACAATAACAAATCCAGATCTATGATTCATTAAACTGGTTCAATGAATCTCACTCAGTCACGTACAGCGCATTGTCAGCCAGCCAGTGCAGTTCAGATACACAAACGTAGCAATGGCAATGAAACCCCCTGTGCAGTAGCAACGACGTTTCGTTTTAGAGTTTGGGGATAATGTTCTCGTGTGTGTAGACGCCCCGGAATTTATACGTTGATTCTTTATATGACGTTTTGTTATAGAGTTTCGGGATACAAAAAATTGTGTGTGGACACGCTGTAAATGTCTATTAACATGATATAAACAGATATTCAGGACCAGAAAGGATGCGTAGCAGTCTGTACAAAAAATAAATCGAATAGTTAACGGCCAAGAGAACAACAAGTTTAAATATAAAAGTTAGTATTTTAAATCCAATAGAATGATGCAAAATGAAAAAGATAAATAAATGCTATGATATGACCATCATGGAAGTAATGTGTGTTGGCTTGTGTTTGTGTGTGTGTTAGTAGAGAGATGGAATTTTGAGAAACATTATTATGAACAAAATTACAAATTGTGAAAACGGAAAGGACATGTAGAGAGTTCATGAGATAGATAATAAGAGCGACATTTAGTCTTTCTTTCCTTCTTTTTGTCTTCTTTTTAACACGCAATATTGAATCAACATGCGACTTCGAAGAAAAAAAACACAAGTATAGTGTGCGGTGCGAGTGGAAATCCTAGTAGAGAATTTGAACTTTAAACTTCTTATCTCTCACATACACTCTCGTACAGAGTGTTAAACCTAAGCACTGTCATTATGCTCCATGCCTTTCTTACTACCCAGTACTACAGCACATCCCCTAACCACTGCATCATACCTTCATAGCTTACCCGAGTATTACAACATTCTAACAGGGTGTTAAATCATGTCAAGCATGCTTTATGATATGGAGGTCAAAGGTGATCTTATTCTTTTCATCTATTCAATCTGATAAGCTGTGCATATCAGAATTTGTCATTGTTCGCTTTCAGGTAGGCACGCAATGGAGTTTCATATGAAAGGGTTTCCCATGCACCTTTACATTTAGGCCTTACCCAAATTTAGATGATATGAGTGCACAAATAAAAAGGAAGACAGATACAAATTTCATATGTTATCCTGACAACTATAGACGAGAAACCTTTTCTGTGCCTCTGAAACTGTTTATAGAGCAATAAGCGTGAAGTCAAATGAAAACGATTTACTAATGTAAAGAGTAATGTGATAAATAAGATCAAAGCGCTGTTTTACATCTTTTTGCTCACATTATGCTAAAAAAGCATGTTGATGTATTATATGGAACACGTGTATTCCCAACAAACAAAGTGTGTACTGAATAGACACTGTTTGATATCTGTATGCAAGGATGACTATTAGGTTCACCTTCATACCTCCTTATCACCAATGTTTCTCTCGTCAACTCACGCACTCAACTGTTTGCCCCTATTTTGTTTAGCTCAAAGAGTACGAGAGAGAGAGAGAGAAAGCTTAAGTTTAGAGAGAGCGGGTTGGATTCCCCAAATAATATTCAAATTAGATTCCCCGAACAAATTCATGGTGAGTATTTAAACAAAACAATAAAGTATTAGTATTTTCTTTTAATATTCTAATATTTTGGAGTTCTGATCAACCTCATTCTTACAGCGAGGGAGGAGCCTGGTAATTATCGGTTTATGTTTCTAATTCTAGGTCCCTTTGCATTTCATTACTGCACTTTATAGGTCAGAAGATAATTAAAATGTTTCAGCTTGCTCATTCCCACTTTCTTTATGTTTCTTTTCCAATACTTGCCTACTTTCTTATCCACTCTCTCTCTCTCTCTCTCTGATTTCATCTCTTTCCACCTGTTCAATTGCTGTTGCTTAGTTAATCTAGATCAATTTCCCAATTATAACTTTACTTCATAGGCGATGTATAGCTCAAAACATCACAATTGTCCTATTCATTTCACCCCTCCCCTGTCCTCTCTCTCTCTCTTTCGTCTATTACTACCTTTTCTCTCACCCCCTCTCTCTCCGCCTCGATCTCTCCCTCTATCACATACTAATCTCTCGACCAATTGGTTATGCCATACTGCTTTCTTTCTCTCGTTTACAACATGGGGGGGGGGGGGTTAGGGGGAGGGGATGTTTTTTTAGGGCGAGGGGGAGGGTGTTTTAGGCGGAGAGGGAGTTTAAGGTATTTTAAGTTATATTGTTTCCGTTCTGTCATTATTTGTCATAATATTCGAAACGTATCAGCTTGTTTTGGTTTTGTTTTTGTCGTAATGTATTAATTGTACATGTTCAAAGTTAATCAAATTGTTATTACGATGAGAAAGATTTGTATTTTGAAGAATTATTTGTATTGTTTTTATATTGAATGTAATCAAAATAAATAATTACGGGAAAAAAGTGTGCGTTCGTGTGTGTTGATTTTTTATTTAACAAACGTGTATCCATATGAAATAACTCAGGTGTGGGACGGACCTTTAACGTCACCGTCCGAAAGACGTGACTCAGTTTCGCAAACCTGGTTTCTATCAGAGTCCGGTTGTAGACGTAGACAGAGAGCACGGACATTAGGGACTTTTAGATTTGCGTAGACTGATACGTGTGACGTCCATTCAAGGCAGTGCATTAAAAGGACGTCGATCGTAGCAATCCACGTTGTCGTTATGCAAATCTAAAAGTCCCTATTACCGCTAGACCAACTCACATCATGAATACTGATGACACTTTAACAATAGGCCTAAGTATACATTTGACAGGTTTCACCTCATATTTAATTTATACAACACTTAATGACAGTACTATACTTCGATATATTTCAGGCATACGTCTATTCAGAACAATAATTCATTCACATCATATCTTGAGAAATCCAAATACATGAAGTACTGACGAAAATTCTTACAATACATCTCGGGAGTATCAAAATACAAATGCATATAAACCTCATACAGTTTCTTTAGAAGACAAACAAAATCTATTATAATTATCGTCTACTTACACTGTGCAAGATATCTTTTAGAAATTTGCAATCACATTTCACATATATATATATATTTCAGTATTTTATGTCTGAAGAAGAACTTACTACTTATAGGGTCTTTATGTTTTTCATCTCAGGTACGATATTTTGTTGAGATATCCTGACGATTAAAAATTAATGACATATGTTTGGGATTCTCTTTTATCAAAACTTATAGACACTGTGCAAGATATCAAGCATATTTGGTGTTTACATGAAAATAAACTTCACTTAGCAAAGACAGAGCTCCAGAAGTATATTCCTCGTGTGCAGTAAACCTTGCTAATAATATACAATTGCATACACATTTTCTTTGTATTACTTAAAGGCTCGATCAGATATAACGCAGCAAAACTGTGTGTTTTAATATTTGTTTTAAGGTGACGGAAGGTGTAGTACGCTTCCCATTTCTGTATTTGTAATGAGCTCAATGAACTCGCGCAAGTCCTTTCTTGCGCAAAGTTTCTATTCGTTTATACCTTTAAAAAATGCAGCTGCTTTGTTCCACCAGCAGTTTACTGCGCCACACCCGAACAAGCTTTTACCTGTTGAATAACTGGAATGCATATATAAATCACACATTTCGTTTATTGACATACATATGTAAAGATAGTACTCATGACGGACAGAAGAGTACACTATGAAGAGGGTGAAATAATTTCATCACACACACTCTTGAAAGACTGGATTATCAAAGGAAATGTAAATGGAAGGTTGTTTTTTACTTAACTGAAAGACTTTCGGCACAATAATCTTTGAAGGAATTCTCACACGTATCAATGACAGATAACAGAGCATTCTTTGTTCCATAACGAATACGAAAAGATCTCTTAAAGTATAAATTTCACTGTTTGACATGATATATGGATAACAGGACATTGTTATTTACACGTTTGAAATACACAAATCCCAATTTACAAAATGGAATAAACTTTGGGATATTTCTCCTTATAATAACATGTAAATACAATAAATGTCTTCATGGAATATTTCAAACTAAAACAAAACTTGTTCTCGCATTCGTTTATATCTGAAAACTCAAAATCATCATATCTGCAAACATTACATTTTGATAATATAGCCGGTAGCAATTTCAGTACCTTATTTTAATGTCTGATTGTAATCATGATATGTATAGAAGAGGGCAATCCAAATTTGCACTCTTCTATAGGCAATTCTTTAAACTATTAACGATAATGAAAGAGCTTTTATGTTGATAATTTCCGCACTGCAGAGTAATCTGTAGCAATTTGCAATTATATTTCACATTTGACATTATACATTTCAGTATTTCATGTTTACAGAAGAAGTTACTTAGGCCTTATGTTTTCCATCTCGGGTAGGGTATTTTATTGTCATATCCTGACGATTAACAACTAATGACATTTTAGGATTCTGTTTATCAAACAAAATCCAAAATGGAGAGACTTGTAATAATCGGTCCCTTTCCCCTAACGTACAGGATGACAGAATCCTTGGTGAATTCTTGTTGAAATAGTATTTTTTTTCTTACTTCGCCAATGGTGAGAGTATCAGGAGGATTACATCTGTTCCTCTGGATAAAGCCTTGAATTTTTATGTCTTTCATTTGCATTTCTGTATTTTCCTAAAATTTCAAATATTATTTACCATTCATCTCCTTTCATCACAATTCTGTGGTTTACACATTGTAATACGAACATTGTAAACTTTGTATTTCTTTGTGATTAGATAAAAGCAATGAGTAGAAATGTTTCAGATTAGAGAGTATGTTAATTTCATTTAATTATATTCAATTTGATTTCATTTAATTTCTTCTTTATTTTACAAACCACGATAAAAGATAATGTATAACTATAACCTAAATAAATATGATGGTATAAAACTGTACAACATTGCGAAATGCAATTACTGAAAACTTCACTTCAAAGTGTACTAAAATTTCAGAATTTTAAAATCAAATTTCATCAAAATATTATAAACAAATACCTACGAAACCCTGTGTTGACAAATATTTCCAACAAGTAATATAGTACATAACAAATAAATACATATAAATACTAAGAAAAGAATTATTGATATATGAAGTATATGATATTGTGCTCAACAATAATAAGTTGGTAAATTGTATAAATACATATTGAGAAAGGTGAATTTGAAATAATTTTAATCATACAATCATCACACATCAATACAAAATTGTCTGTCGTTAAAAGGTACTTTCAATATTCAACAAAAGTAACTGAAAGAGAGCCTTTAACAATGGATATACGCAGTGAAAATTTACGTCATAATTGCTCAGTTCAGATGACATGTGTGATATGAACAGTCCTAAAGTGAAGTGGGACTAACAAGCAATAAAGTTGTTTGTAATTTATACTATAGGCCTGATAATGTACCTAAGGCTGATATATATATATATAAAATAGTGATGTTGGCTGGCTCTACTTTGAGCGAATATAAATATTGAACATATTGCCCTCGATAAACCATATTGCCCTCATCTTACGACTCGGGGCAATATGATTCTGTTGCGGGCAAAATATTCTGACTCCCTCTCAAGGCCATCCAACAACTGGGAACTTTGATTAAGCTACACAAGCATTATGCTCTTCAATCTCTATCTTTATCATTGGAAAAATGTATTCGTCAATAGAGAAGCATATAAATTCGGAACTCATGAGGTACCAAATAGCTCAAATACAAGACGATTTTGACCAGCCTTCCTTAGAACACCCTTCAGGGCTTTACATTCTGTTATTTCGGTTTGCTTTTTTCTCCAGGCTCGGAGCATTAATAGTGTACCCATGTATGATACTTCTGAATTCTTCATGTTTGTGTCGACATAACGCTGGATATCTTCTGGCTCGAAGCCGAGAGCCTTTCCAAGATTATCTATCTCATCACGCCTGCCAACTTTTCGAGCAACAGTGGTTAGCTTATCGTCAAAGTCTTCCAGTCTACCTGGAATGTTCCTTAAATAAGACATATAAAAAAAAAAAAGTGTGTTAGTATGGTTCTTATTAACATTCGATTCAATTCAATTCAAATGTTATTGATTAACATCCAAACAAATATGATCATTCCCAAATGTTTTGTTATACATTGGATAACAGATTTTAGAATTATAGTGTAAAATAGATAATTGAGTGTTAGAGTAAAAAAAATGACAATAACCAGGAATGACAAAAATGAACGTACTACTGCATGTCTCTTCTATTCTCTTCTTTTATAATACAGGGATAAAAATACATTAAATTTCTTGTAATGCTTTTCGAAGCTTTTTCTTTTTTCTTTTCAAATAAAAAGGAAAAAGAAAAAAAGAAAAAACACAACATGAAAATAAAACAATATATATATATATATAAATGTTATAGGTTTACTAAACCCTCCCCATGAGAAGACCCCGACAGTATGGCCCTAGTCCAAATCCAACCTTGTGGAGACAGTGAGCATGGGATGACAACAAATAATGCTTGTTACAATACTACATTCAGCTAACTTAATATGGTTAAAAAACAACAAAACAATAAAACAGTCAATGATCTACAAATCTCGCATATGGTCGATCTTTAACATATAAACGACTTAAAGGTATTACAAAGTTTTGGTATGGGGTCATGAATTTGGTTCAAATTAACATATTGGAAGCACATGCGTTCCTACAATATTCATTGATCGTTGTCGCGGTTGAAATTGAGTCTAAAGTTATGAAATAATAAATAATAAACTCTTTATGTTGTATAGCTCCCTCTCAAGGTCAAGATATTAATTTAGCTATGAAACAATGTTTCTTGACTAAAATCGACCGATTAGCTATTTCCGTTTGGAAATTATATATCACAACTACATATTCTGAGATTTTCATGGTCGCAGCTACCATTGTACGGACATAGGCGCTATTTGAAATTCATCAAAATTTACCGGGAGCACCGGTAAATTTTTATATTTAATTTTTCTCGAAAACAGAAGTGTTTTAGGGGCTAATTTTTTTAGTGCTTATAATTCATCCCCAGGGGCATCCAAATATATCAAAATTGTAAAGATTCACTATCCACCCAATTTTCAACATTTCCCAGAACTTTGTATTACCTTTAATATTGCAAAGTCAAAATAAATTGATTGTTTAAAGATAAAGAGCAATCTTAATGAAAAAGGTAAGAAATTACGAGGTTAATTAACAGCAAGACCTGGACTATATACATATATTTATAAATATACATATTTTTAATTTATATACGCGCCTTGAGCACTCCACAGAGTGGATTTGGCGCGATATAAGTTACATTATTATTATTATTATTATTATATATATATATAGAAAAATATAACATGCGGGAGGGGGTTGCAACAAAATATCGTAGGGCCAATAGCTACATGATTATTAATCCACACAAAAAAAAAATCGCTATCACTTGCAAAGACCCTAATTTACCTGGACGGGTATAGTGCGACGGACATTCCTTTTACCCCATCTCCTCTAAATTTAAAATGTTTATGGTTTTGATTTTGATATATGTACCATGAGTAAGAGTGATATTAAATTAGTATTTATTTGTGAGTCAGCTTCAAACTGGTTTCGATTCACAGCGTACTAATATCATTTAATTGTATATATTGGACTTTAATTATAAGATATTTGAGCCCAGTTTCCCCTTCTCTTCATTTAGTTTGTTTTTAGTTGTAAACGTACATGGCGTCCAAGCAGAAATAGTGTCCACACGAATCATGCAAATTATGCAGTAATTTGAATGTCATTTACCAGACAATAATTTCTATAGGTAATAAAATTGGTTGATAAAGATAATAGTGATTTCAGGTTTATACCTGCACATGCTCTGATCTCAGTCTGCATCTACCATGCTGACAGTATTAATGATGAAAGAAATGATCATAACTTACTCCACAGTTTCTCCTGTACTTCGAAGTGATGTTTGTGGTGTCTGTGAACTTGATGCACCTTGCAGTTCTTCTGAAATTTCGAGAACCAGAAAAGAGTAACGTTGAACTACATGTATTACTTAGTGCTGAATAAAGTAAACCTAATATTCATCTTTATTGTAATTGTTGAATCTCACTCAACGTAGGAAATTGGTAATTTCCTGCACTTAAATGCAAATTTTAACTTAAGACAAAGCTACAAAATAAAGAACAAGCGAGACTTTAGAGTCTTAATTGACGGACAGTAACACTTTTAAAAATTATGGACCATTCAATAAATTAAGATCAGAAGTCTATTGGAGGAAATTACAAAATTACCCAACAAGAGTCTGTCATGTCCTTAATTCAGCCACAAACAGAAACAATACATGTAGGAACGTATTTATGGTGGAATTTCACATCCATCTAATGAAATAATCATTATGCAGTGGGAATGACTGTAAAAGGAAATACAAAGATCTACAAATGATAACAATTAAATTAAATTAACATCTGAATTCCAAACTTTGTAGCGTATTTTATATATGCACAACACGTACTGGGACATGAATATCATATTGTGTCTATATAAGCAAACATGTGCCTGATTTTTGATGATCACAGCAACACATTTGCCACATTAATTGATTTAAGATAAAGCTAAGTTCTGGTTATGCAATAAAATTGAGAAAGAATCTCGAATGAAAGGTTAATTGAGTAGTACATATAAATGAGTGGATATACTGTGAAGTTGCGAATTATCAGCTTTATATTTACTTGGTCAAATTTGAAGAAAAGCACATGCGCTTCACACAGAAATGGGTAAAAGGGACTACACAGACACATGGAATGACTGTTTGATTCAAACAAGTCAACTGTTCGTAATCATGTTTTGACTATATGAGGGCCGCATTTGAAGCGGATACTGTGAAGTTTTGAATCATCAGCTTTTTATTTATTGGATCCAACTTGATGAAAAGTACAGGCAATGCACAAGGAAATGGGTAAATGAGACTACACAGACACATGGATGCCTGTTTGATCCAAATAATAATAATAATTAATAATAATTACATTTATAGGGCGCTTTATACAGACGTTTCTATTAAGCGCACAGGTGGTACTATCTAACTTATAATTATTTTAACATGTTCAATGCCTTAAAAACAACAAAATAAAATAAAACATTATCAATACAATACAATACAATTGAGTACTTGAATGGAATGAACTACTTGTGTGCGCCTCCAGTAAACTATAACTGATTAAAAAGGTGTGTTTTGAGAAGGGTTTTAAGTCAGCTTTTTGTAGTCATATTTTGAATATGAGAACATTTCAAGAGCAATCCTTTTTCAAGGGACTTTTCTTTCATGACTTTCTTCCAACTAAAATAAAAGAAGAAATCTCACGAATTGATTTGTCACATTTACCAGAACGCCACATTTTCTTTAAACCAAAATACCTTGATCTTGTGGAGAAGTTCTCTTTCTTCTGCGAGGAGTTGAGAAATCCAATGGAAATAAGAGTTTGTCCTCTAGTCTCTCAATTTGTCCCACTCTCAGTGACACTGCAACAATGTCTGGATGGTCGGTAAAGTCCAATTCAAAGGGCTCACAGATCCTGGCTCCACTCGTTAGTTTATCAAACGGGACAACCTAAACAAAAATGTTTCAAAAGAGTAGGTAAACAAAAGTTCCTTTTTATTTTTCTGATATCAATCATCTGCTCTAGAAGTGTGTACATGTATAATACATCCTGAAACAAGACTCAACTACTGTATATCTACATCACCATGGAAGCCGATGCTTACAAGCAGCATCTAACCCAGCTCTACGGGGAGCCAACCCAAGTATCATCCCGGCAACTGCAGCGTAACTACTTTAAAGAAGCCAAACTCCAGAATCACCTAACCATCCTCAAGCGTTGCCGTGACTCAAGCACCACCCCAACCGGACTACAACTCAAGTCTTCAATCAGCACTCCACGAGCAAATCTGATCATACACAAGGCAGGGCAAGCCCTTGTCAGAGAGCTCATCGCCCACATCCGCCATCAACTCCATACCATGGAGCAAGACATCCACACATCAGAAGTAAACCTCTCCCAACTACTGGAACCGGTTGATCTTCGGAAATGCCAGGCCTTCAACACCTCTACAGCTGGGAAAACTTTCCAGTCAACCCGACAGAAGCAGATCGTCAAATTCAACAAACTTCTAGCTAACAGCCAGAAATCAACCAACCAGACTACACCAACCGGCACCAAGGACACCGTTATCAACCTCAGCAACCATCCACTCACGGAAACCGAACACAAAGTCCTATCATTAGGTCTCAACTTCGCTGTGTCACCTAAGAAGATCCCGTTCTCAGAAGTCATCCAACGAGTAGAACCCAAACTGAGATTCCTGAGCTGAACTGCAGGGGCAAAATCCTTCTCCAAGTCACCCAAGCCCTATCCACAGCTAAGCCACCACAACCCAACATTAGAAAAACAGAACGAGCCGCTATTAAAGATCTACGCAGCAACCTGTCAATACACATTCTACAGGCAGACAAGGGCAACGCTACAGTAGTTCTGAACAAAGGGGACTACAACAATAACATCAGTGTGCTCCTCGAGATTCCGACTTACAAACATCTAAAGAAAGATCCAACACTATCAACGGAAAGGAAACTCAACCAGCGACTCCTCTCTCTTCACAAAACAGAAGTCATATCCAAGCTACTCTACTTCAAACTTCGTTCATCTTCAGCTACCTGCCTCATCCTGTTTGGCCAGCCGAAGATACACAAACCTACTAATCCACTTCGCCCCATCATTTCAACCCGAGGATCGCCTTGCTATGACACAGCCAAACACCTGACCTCCATTCTCCAACCACTCGTAGGATATTCGCAGCACCACATCAATAACTCCAAGTATTTCGTCGACATTCTCTCCAAGACCACCATACACGATACAGACATCATGGTCAGTTTCGATGTTGAATCTCTCTTTACCAACGTTCCTGTCACCGAATCCTGCCGAATCATCAAAGAACGCCTCGAAGCTGACGACACCCTCCCCGACAGAACTCCCCTGACACCGGATGAAATACATGACCTCATGTACTTTTGCCTCAAATCAACTTCCGTCAAATGGCGAGACAATTACTACCAGCACCTTAAGGCGCAGCCATGGGATCGCCTCTTTCACCAGTTATGTATAGCCAACATCTTCATGGAGCACTTCGAAACAACGGCACTCCAGACTCTCTCACAACGCCCTTCTCTCTGGCTCCGATATGTCGACGATACATCCGTCATCTGGTCGAATAGCAGACGTGACTTAGACCCCTTCCTCGCCCACATCAACCAGCATCAGCCGAGCATCAAATTCACCATGGAGACCGAGCAAAACAACCTAATCCCCTTCCTAGACATCCTCGTTACCAAATCGCCATCCGGCAAGCGCGCTCACCTAATCTACAGGAAACCCACGTATACCAACATATATCTTCACTACAGATCCTTCCACCATCCATCCGTACTACAATCAGTCCCCAACGCCCTCATCCGCCGAGCCCATCAACTCAGCAACGCCGACCATCTAGACCAGGAAATCCAGCATGTCACCACAGCCCTAACTACCATCAACAAATACCCAAGACATAAGATCAAGTCTAGGACTTCCGCCAGCAAGCCCACAGCCAACACCACCCCTGAAGTTAACCAACCCGCAGCGACACCACCAAAACAAACTGTTGTTCTACCCTATATCGTTCGACTCTCACAAGATTCAACGTATCCTTCAAGCAGCAGACATCCAAGTTCGGCACAGTTCCTCCAACAAACTCCATTCGATACTCCACTCCCACAAAGACAAGCATCCAAACCACAAGAAAGCTGGAGTCTACAAGATACCATGCGAATGTGGAAAAGTCTACATTGGTGAAACGGGGAGAAATTTGGAAAACAAGACTCATGGAGCACAGAACCAGCTTCAGACTTCTGTACCCGGTCACTCCTCCTCCACCACCGCCTTCACCTCACCCTCAGACACACGTACATCAACCACCGCCACCCGCCGAACCCACAAAGCAGCCGCCAGCCTCACAGCTACAATTAATGCACAGCAGACGACAACAGACTACAACAACGCCTACGGCGCGGACACACACAGCGTCTCGCAGACAGGACATCCCACTCATGGATTCGAAGATCTCCCAAGTCCGCAACCCGGAGACTCCTGCCCAGACGGACAAGCAGACCACCCAACTCCACACTCCGATGACTGAAGCCCACATGGTCATTTATAGTACTCCCCCCCCCCCCCCCCCACGTCCGGACCGCGGTGAATTAAACTCACGCTAGAGTACGCGGGCGCCCCCACAAGTACCAAAAAAGAAAAGAAAATGCAATGAATTATCAATAATGAATTATCAATAATTCATTGCATTCCCCCCGGTCCCCAACGGGAAAAATTCCTCTGTAGGACCATGTTCAAGGCATGGCCACACAGAGAATGTTTTTTCACTCACAGTGAACCTAGGCACTAGGGGAAAATGTAAATTCTTTGTACCCATCAACCCTATTTTTACCGGGAAAAAATATTTTATTATTCTAACCCTTCGTTTGAAAATTACAATAAGACTTTGAGATCATTATGGTGGCTATAAACTGGTAGGATTTTACCACAATGATGGTGCGCATCTCTTGACATGAAATTAATGAAATAACATCAGAAACATTTTTTTTCTTCTGAGAAGCCCATAGCAATAGATACTCTAAATGTTCTAGTCTAGTCCTTCTTGTTTTGAAGTTCACATGGTGACTACATTTGATTTTTGAGAGTGGGGGGTTCCTTCAGCCTTCTTGATATCAAACTGATGGGTTTTGAAGTTCACATGGTGACTACATTTGATTTTTGAGAGTGGGGGGTTCCTTCAGCCTTCTTGATATCAAACTGATGGACCGACATCAGAATTGGATTCCGTGTAATTATAGAAATCGTATTATTTTTGGTTGAATCCAAAGGTGTCCCTGTAATTATAGAAATCTTATTATTTTTGGTTGAATCCAAAGGTGTCCGTCCAAAAAAAAAATCAAATTGGTACAGTATGATCGACATCTCGGCCAAATTAAGTGCTTTTAGAACAATCTACACCAAACTATCATTATATTGCTCTAACATCCCCGACTAATTCAGTTATAACCAGAATTTTGAACAAATTAATAAACTTACAGCAGGTCTTCCAATTACTGTCTCCTTTACGTAACAGGTCATTTTGAGATCACTTTCTGCTGCCTGAATAACGACCTCTTGTTCTGGATGGGCAGGTACGAATTCTTGTTCTTCTTCTTGTCTTTTTATCAACTGTTACCAAAGAAAATAAAATAATTTATACAGGGCTGATACGCTGTATACATATACCAGGAAAAAGAACAAATAATGTCCCAGCAACAAAACTTGTTCATGAACCAGTTTCTATAAAATAAAGTTTAAATTAAACAACAAACTTAAATCTTTCTCAAAGATGAACAACACCACAGATGGGCAGAATTTTGTCTTATTCTTTTGTTCATAAGCTCTTAAGAGCCTCTATTGTACACCAAATGCAATGTATTGTGAACATTTTAAAACATTGTACTTTAGCTGTAGATTGATTGGTAATTCTTCCAATAAATAATGTACTTTCTGAAAGTATGAACCAAAAAACTGTGGATCTATGCCACAATACAGATTCCTTAACTGCTGCAACAATAATTTACCTCGCAATTCCCTTTGATGGCATCATAGAGGTGTGCACGTAAGATGACAGGTGTCTTCTGTAGGGGTAGGTTCTTTTCTTTAAATGGCCGACAGCGCATCTTCTTTCCTTTGAAGAAGAAATTCTTGATCATCAACTTAATCTTCGCCCATGAAAAATGATTCATCTTCAGTTTGAGTACATCTTTCGTGATGGTGCAGCTAGGTATTCCAGACGTCGACAAAATACCTCGTTCTTTAACAACTGCATCTATAATCAACAATTTTGGGTGAAAATCAGGAAAATTATGGACTCATTGAAGCGAGACAAAAGGTCAAGTGACTTTGTAACTGTACGTCCGATTTTCAACAAAATTGTTTTAAAAGATGCGCAAGACTTGAAGGAAAAAAGTCAGGGAGCGGCGGGGCGCCATGCGTTCCCGAACAATCAGAAAAAGCGCGGAGAGGGGGGGGGGCATAATGCCCCTCAGCCTTATTAGGGTTAACATACCTCTAAATCGGTATTCTGTAAACGTTGTTAGGGTATACAATCTCATTTCAGGTAACGACCTTACATATGTCCATTTTAATTAATTCTCTAAAGATAATCACTCTTAAACAGTACTCTCAGTCAAACATGTTTTGTGTAAGATTGGATGTACAGCTATGAACTATAGTGCTTATTTATTGAGCATTGTCAATTCATACACACTACCTTTGTCCGGGCCTATGTCACAAAGGTGCTCATGAAAAACTTCTTTATTTCTTTCTTTTCTATGTTTCCTATGTTTCTTTATGTTCAAAAGTTGTAACTTCTCAGAGTCATATTGCAGTTTTTTACAGAAACTACAAAGGAAAATTCCAGGAAAGAAAACCTCAACTGCACTTCACTTAGTAATAGACCAACGTACAATACTTTACAGACTCCTATACCAACTATATTTTCTACATTAACTTTCTTGTTTTTCAGAATACCAAAACTATGTTAACTATCATGCTATTTCCCCCGCCACCACGAATGAGGTTTACGTGAGATTATGAATATGCGTGCTGCATCTTCCTGCCAAAAACTCTGTTACACAGTTTTGGACTTGACATCAATTTCAGAATAACGATTATGAACGTTAGCTGACATAGTTTTCACGCTAACATAGTCTTCAGAATACCACCCCAGTTAAATGATAACTTGACTTGATTACGTATGTCACTACTCCCCACTATCACTGCATAATTATGTTACATGTTTATAGTGCATCAGTGGCATAGAGGGGCACAGTCACCATTGGGGGGAGGGGGGGGGGGGGTTGCACCTGTCATATAGGTGAATGAAATACAAATTGACATGGCTATTGGTAAAGGGAGGTTTTGTGGGCAGGAAAAGCGGCGGAGATTCAAGCATTTTCTTGTCAAGCTCCATTTCCCCCTACATTTGTTCTTTATTTTTTCTTCGTTTTCACAATAAATATATTTGCGGCAGTTTTCCTCATACCTCCTGTAGCTACGCCATTGTCGGGCATGTACTTCTAGCTAGGCAAGTCTTCTTCAGATTTCATATCGAGTTTAGGCCAATTAACCTTTTGCTAGACAGTGTCATTATCGATTCATGACTCTCAGACTTGCGGTTTATAAAGGTGCTCTTAAATTCTAGCTGCCATACACAATGGAAATTGTTTTGTTTTAAAATAATTTTAGATACACGTGCACATGCGTTTGGGGCCTTGATATTTTCAAAAAGTGACATCTACTCGAATTATTGTAAGCAATATTTTAAAAATAACACTTAAAAGATATTTCATACTTTTTAAACTTAAATATGACATCCTTCAACTTTACAATGAGAAAACCTAAACAAACGTTTCGAGAGTCACTCGAGATCAAACGTACTTATAATCCACCTACGGTTGTGCTTTTAATGGAAAATGGAGTTACATTTGTTTTTAAATTTACTTATTGCTAAGTGTTTCATTTATTTACAAAAAAAGGTTTCGATATTAATGATATTCATAAAATACCATTGCTCCATAATGTGCATACATTTAAAGATGAACTTACCAGGTGAGTATTCTCCCTCTCCCGTATACAAGACTACCTCCACACTGGAGTATCGTGTACCGGTAATCACAGCACAGTGAGGTATTGTGTAAGTCACCGGTAGCTGAAGGACTAAGTCATTAGGGGCTAAACACTGTACACCAAAGCAGACTGACATCTCTTCTTTGTTGTTGCCAAGATTAGAAGTATCTGTCAGGACACTCAGAGAAATGTCCTGCGGCGCTTCGCTGTCAATTGCACCGGGAGGGATCTCAAGTTCAATTCCGAAGGGATCTAGCTGAAGTCTGCCACCTTCAACTCCAACTCTCTTAGAACATTCCATCTTGATCTTGATTACTTCATCTGGTAAAAAAAAATCCAGGAGATATTTCTGCAAACTCTCTGCAAACAACAAAATGCATAACTGTCCTTCAAGACTCTTGCAAAATATTAAATATAGGTTATTCAGCGCCGAAGAGCAATATCACTCTGAAAGATCCTTCTCATGACAGGAATAAGTGCAAGGGAAGAATATTCTGACAAATTTTTAAGTTTTCATGTTTTAAAGGGAATTTCAATTTCTTCTTAACTGTTGCTTAGATTAGACTGTCCGTTGTGAAAAGATATTTGAATTTAATTATACAATCTTTGGATTTTAGCAATTTACATGAATGATGTTATTTTTCAACTTTAAGGATTTAGCATAATTATCTTTTACCGGCCTGTCAGGAATATTGTTGTAATACAATGAAGTAACAAGATAAAAAAAAGAAATATTGTTTATCTACCCAGACTTGCCCTGTTTATCTGCCCTTTGCCGAAAAATACAAAACTTGCTACTAAAATAACACCACACACTATAGGCCTCTTTACACTAGACATATCTCTCAGTGTTGGATAATGTTGTTTATTTTTACAGAGGTTCAGCGTCCATAGTTTAATGTTATACATGGGTTTGTACCACTCTCAATCTCATGTCATTGAATCATGAATACACTAAGCATTAACTGGTTAAAGTATTCAAATACTTTATTGTTTGTTTCGTGTCTCTGCCATGCCTGTGAATGTAATGGACATGAAACAACAGATAACATTAGAGAGACTTTTATTTTCCTTTTCTTATTCTCCCAAATCAATTTCTGCTGATATTGTTCAAAGCACAACATTAACCTGTTTCATGGGGCAGGCTTTCCAAGGCAATGTAATCTTCTTCCTCCTCTTCTTCCTCCTCCTTTTCTTCTTCCTCGGTGTTCTGGGTATCTGTCTGTTCCTCGTGAACTTGGACCCTTGCTGTGGCTCTAACAAGCTCATCTGTAAGATTCAAGCGGTCAATAACAGATTTAGAATATAGACCCTTTTTATTGAGACTACCGTAATAATAATAATAATACAGCATTTATTATGCGCCATCGATCTAGTAAACTATTCTGAGGCGCAGAGGGATAGAATTAGAATGAGATACATAGAGAAATGAGAAGGGGGAAGAAAAAAGAAGGAAACAAAAAAATGCATAGATGTACATTGAACATATAATTAACTAAAACAACATGCGAACATATATGACTTTAGATTCTTTTTAAATGTTTCTAGGGATTCTAGTGATCGGATCCTCAGTGGAAGAGCATTCCAAAGAGATGGCGCTGCCGAAATAAACGCCTTTTCTCCCAGACTAGACATAGTTCTTTGGACTGGTAACTGTTTAGTACCAGAAGAACGGAGATTTCTACCTGGTACATATTCTCTGATGAGATTTCGCAGGCACTGTGGAGCCTGACCGTACATTACTTTCCATGTGTGGAGGAAGATTTTGAACTCTATTCTTTTGGATACTGGCAGCCAGTGTAAACTTTTCAGAATTGGGGTAACGTGGGAAAAGCGAGATGTTCCACTGAGGACCCGAGCAGCAGAATTTTGAGCACGTTGCAGTTTGGCAAGCTGATAAGAGGAGGCCTTGAACAATAAAGCATTTCCATAATCAATACGAGACATAACATAAGAATGAATAACAGAGGCTGCAACCTTGCATGATAACGACTTTCTAATACTGTGAATAATGCGTATGTGCATATAAACAGATCGACAAGTGGTTGTAACGTGAGCAGACATTGACATTTCAGAGTCAAAATGGACTCCAAGATTCCTACAACTTGACACAGATTGTACATCAACACATCCTATGCGTAATGACTGACTACGGATCTTAGCTGCCAGGTGTCTTGAGGCAATAATCATAAATCCACTCTTGTCATCATTCAGTTTCAGATTGTTCTGTGTCATCCATGCTCTCATATCATTGATGCAGGCTTTAAGTTTATATCTGGTAGAGGCTTCACTTAAAGGATCAGATGGATTAAACGATGTGTATAGCTGGGTGTCATCCGCATAAAGATGTATATTGATGCCTCGGGACCGTGCAATATCTGCAAGAGGGCTGGCATAAGTGCTGAAGAATGACGGGCCCAACACAGACCCCTGAGGGACACCATACGGAAGTTCAGCCAAAGAGGACATGCATTCATTGATTCTGACTGCCTGTGAACGGTCGCTCAGATAAGAAGATATCCATGCAAGAGCGGATCCTTTTACACACATTG